ATGTAATATAAGAACTTTATTTTAAAGAAAAATTCGACAAAAGAAGGCAGAAAAAAGCCCGTTCCTAAAACCTATCTCACGGTGAATTTCGTTGGTTCAGAGGCTGCATTGAGCACATTGAGCACTGAGTTCACAGTAAATCGCGAGAGTAAGAATTGATAAGCCTGTAACGGCGGATCGACGTCTTACTCAGCGGTTCACGGAGGAAGTCTGTATAACGGCCGTTGAAATTCGCTTCTAGTCCGCTTGCCGGTTCCCGATTTCCACGCACACGAGAGTGGTGCACGTGCACGGGCATCATTAATCTTGCCTGACCAATGATCAACGACCTCTCTCATTGACTACGGCGTATGAGCATGCGAAGTGTACGTGTGCGGTCCTGCGAACGACTATCGCGAAGCGCACGCGGCTCTTCTTACCGCCTTTTTCGTCTACGAAAGTCCATAAAACATTTCTAATAAATGTGATTTGTACACACGGTGAACACCATAACAAGTATCCTAATTGGAGAGTTGATTAAAATATATGGAGATAATATCACCTCTCTGTGAATACGTTCATTTTTTTTTATATTCCATTGTGTAATTTAAAATGATGTCATTTTACAATGACAATCACTGACATATTGTCTACTTAGCCTTATGAAATACGTTATAATATTATAAAATATTATGACATTTATGTTTTATATTGATATATTAATATAAAAATTTCTTTTTCTTTTTTTAACAAATATTCAAATTAAGCCATAATTTAGATTATGTCCACATTGTTATGGGTAATAAGTCATACTTGGTAACAATGATTAACTTTTAAATGTGTCATGTGTCGGACGTGACATTACACATGGAGCTATTACGTGGCGAGAATTCTAATTGCGACAAATTTATCTCTCTCAATAAAACGCAATAAAGGCCATTGTCCGTCGAGGCACCTAATTAGATCGGAAATGTAATAGCACGTGGAATAAACTCCTGATATCCGCCCACGCACACACGTTAACACGTTAACATAAGCATGTCTTGAAAAATAATGTACGGTCGTACATACTGGATGTTTCAGAGAATCCAGAGTATTACAATTGTAAGGTATATTTTCTATCGAACGTGGATATTACATTTCATTACCGAACTTTCCAATTTACAACGATAAATATTTCCACGCGATTCAATCGCAAAATACATATCTATCGACATCGATCGAAGTTTTCTCTTGCATTAGAATATTAAAAATTCATTTTGGAGAGTTAAAAATAGGACAGAACGTTATTGGCCATCTTTCGAGAGTTTTCCAAAATTAAAATGAACTTGGGCCACACTCTCAGCCTTCGCTTTCTCGAGGGAAATATCGTCCCGAAACCTCATAGAGAAAGCCCCTCGCTGTCATTACTGCAAGCTGTCGTGGACACCCGGTATAACTGCCCTGTAAAACGGTGTCACCGCGCGCCGTTGGGGTCGCAGGGATGCGAGAGCTGTTCCGCGAGTAGGCGGGGATTATTAATGACCACGAGCCGCCTTATCTTTTCCACTTCCTGTTCGAGATACATAATACGTGGGCCGCCTCGCGCAGTCGTTGCATCGCGCCGCAACGTTGTGCGTACGGCGCTTCTCGGAGGCTCGCACTCGTCTCATTGTGTGTGCCATCGCGTAACCGCGACGCTGCGCGCGATGCACCCGCGTATTTATCACCGCTCGGAATCGCACCCGCGTCGCGGTAAGGAATGACTCGAGTGAACGATTAATCGTCGTTATCCTCGATCGCGCGGAAAATTTTATTGCCGCTGCCGTGGTACGTTATATCGTCGGACAGAATGTCTCGACGACGCGCTGCAGAATTACGCGATTTCAACTTCAGCGAGAATCTGAATTTTTTGTTATATCGAATTACTCATATTTATTTCATTTACTGATATCTAATTTGCTAATATATTTAATGTATTTATTACTAACATATTTAATGGCAGTTGAAAAGCTGTAATGAAACATAATATTCAATACAAATTTGGCAGAGAATACTTATAATTGTGTTATACGATTTCTCTAGAATATCTAGTATACTTAACATAAATCATTTTAAAATAATTATCATATATTTAAATTGCCATCGACACATATAAGGTGACATAAACGCTTTATATTTTACTGTATTTTTAATTCTTTTTCGATTTCTTTTTTAAAAAATTATATAAAAAAATGAGAAAGCATTAGAAAAATACTGGTCTATATCGGACATTTTATTATCCTCTTGTAAACCTGAGAGGGACAGAGAGTCGGAGAAAGAATATAAAAGCAATCCCCTGAAGGAAATGCCACGGCTTCTCTCATTGGCGAAATTAAAGAACACATAGAAATGCAATTGGCGATCCTTTATGCAACTTCTCAAGGACACTACGGGTCCTCCTTCGCGTCGAGAGCGGTTTACGGATTTACAGGTCCAAACAAGAAAGAAGTCGGGACCCTCGCATGCGAGTTCTCGAAGGGTAGATTCAGATTTCCGATATTATTTGCTTTGTACCGCGCTCCGGGGAGAAAAGAGATAGAAAGGGGAGAGAAACTGTGCAAATCCTCAGTAACAGGAGACGAACACGGGGCTTTCTTTCTGCCCCCTCCCTCTCCCTCTCCTCCATTCTGCCCCCTGAAAATCGTTTCGCCTATAATAAAGCTAAACGATTGCTTCGCGAAATTGCTTTTCTTCAAACAGAGGCGTTTGATGTCGCGTCTCCTTTTTGACGGATCGTAATCGCGCGCGTGTTAGTGTGCTCTGAACTGTCGAGCCTCGCTGCCGGAAAGACAGAAAGATCTCTTTGGATCTTTAGCCGACGTTTCCTATTTCGTATTCATGGGCAAATGGGCGACGCGGAATATTTGCTTCGCGTCAAGCTCGAACGACTTGCAAAGTATACAATAAAGTTTCATTATCTGCCGGTATTAAATAGCGAAATATTAATGTGCAAGCAGCATATAAGAGATGATCTAGATATTAATTCGTAAAAGAAGACATAAGATATAAAGAAGTATTAATAAATTATATAAGAGAATATTTTTTTCTTCTGTTTTTTTTTCTCATACAATTCTTAAAAATTAAATAATACTGTTAATCAAATAATTGTGAAAGGAGTAATATTAAAATATAAAAAAATATACAAAATGTGTCACAAGATTATCTTTAGTATTAATGAGCGCGTTATATTAAACATTTTCAATTTTTTTGATTTTACTGAAAAATAACAGCAATAATTATTTTTTACACACACACACACACACACACACACACACACACACACACACACACACACACACG